TACGTCAAGTTGAACTAAATTAAAATGTTGCCTTGGCAACTAGCTGAAATAAGTTTTGTTGTGTTTTATTAATATTATTAATTTTATTATTAAGAGTAATAAATAACCACTTTAAATGGCAAGTAGCGTGTTGCATGCTTGTACATTTTTTTTTTCCTTCCTGATGTGGAATCAGATCAGTAGAGTTGGCTCTCAGTTCAGCACGACCTCGCACTGAAATGTGCTGTGCAGGAGAAAGACACGCGAGGTTTCGGGGAGAGATAGGAAAGGAAGGAGGAAAAAAGAAAGAGAGACAAAACTCTGGCACACACCTGCGTTGGTCTCAGTCAGCAGTTTCTCCTCACGAAACGCAGCCACTCCGCCAGATCAGCTGCTAATGGCACTACTGGAGCACGCCATAATGTTTATCATCTATCTACTGAACATCACCATTCAGTGAAATATGATTTAATATACATCCATGCATAATGTAAAACAAGTCACATCAAGCTTCCCGTGTCGAGCCGTTTTGCTGATCTCGTCAAGAGCAAAATATCACTGTTCCCTTAAGCTGAATCAAGGTAGTTTGCTGTTTTAAGTCAGTAGCCTGTAGTTTACTTTCAAACGAGTTGCTTGACTGAACTTAAAAAGTTAAAGTTATAGCAGTCTGAAGCACCATTATAGTTTTATTAATATTTGGAAATTATTTTTATTTTCTATTTGAATTTTATTTAAAGTTTTAGTGATTTCAGCCGTTTTTGTAATTGTTATTTGTTTTTTTAATATGTCTATATAGTTTTTATTATTTTTATTTCCGTTTTAGTTGTTTTAGTGTTTTTTAGCATCATTGAGCTACTTTTATAGTTGTTATTAAGATTTAAAATTTGTTTTTATTTTAAGTTTTTATTTTAGTTTCAGTTTTAGCAATTTTGTTTGTGTTTGAATTTTAGTATTAGTTATTTAATAAATCAAGTGAAACTAAATTAAAATGAGAAATTTTGCCTTGGCAACTAGCTGAAATAAGTTTTGTATTTTCTTTTATTTTAATTTCAACTAGAGACATTTTTTAATGGTTTTAATTTTATTTTTAGTTAACTACAGTAACCCTGATTTTAGTACAGTAAGTTCAATAAAAAATTTTAATTAAAATGTTGCTAAAATAAAACAGGTTTATGTTTTTAAAAAAAAATTCATAAATTTTTTTATATATACATTTTATTTATTTATTTATTTATTTTATTTAACTATAGTAACTCAGGTTTGAAATAGACTGACACCTCTAAACTGTAAACTGAATTTTCACAGCCAATCAGAACATACTTGAGGTTTAATATGCAGCAGTGTGTACCAATGAGATTTTACTGTGGGCGGGGATAAATGGTTTTGGGTCCAAAAAAAAAAATCCCATGCCAATAGATGCATTTTTTTTTTTTTTTTTTGCCAATAGATGCATGCATTTTTTTTTTTAAATAATGATTATACATCTTTGCTGTAAAATATTTCATAGGCTAAATTTTGCTGTCACGTAGAATAAAACTTGTTGGAAAGCCATAGTTATATGTGATTTGTGAGTGAATTGTTTGTGTGAGTCACTTCTTTTCTAAGAATTGGTTCTGCATTTGGCAGACACTTTTATCCAAAGCAACTTACAGTGAATTATATATAAGGAATCGAACCCACGCATTGGTGTTTCTAGTGTCATTTTTTTACTCTTTTAGCTACAAGAATGCTAATTTGAGCAACATGAAACTGTAAACAGCTTGAGAGGTCATGGAAAAGTGATGGTGATTCACTGGTAAAAAGAAAAGAAAAAGAAAAAGGTTTGGAAACTTTGGAGAAGAACATGTTTTAAGCACAAACGCTGCAGGACGAGTTTGAGGTTTGAACTAGTAATCTTGACGCTTGCCAATAGTTAGTTGTGTTGTTCAGTAATCGTGTGAAATCTTTTGCATGTGTAGAATTGAATGTGAACATGTGCGCGGCGTGTGTTATCCTGCTTGTGTCCGTGTGCCACTATAATGCGAGGAGGCAGTTTTGTGATTAAACAGCATGTGTTTCATGTTTTGAGGGCATGTGTTTTCTTTCCCAATCATGTTGGGATCTGAGACGCTCACACACACACGCATGGATGTTTGCATTTTGTTCACATGTATTTCCTGCGAGAGGGCAGGATGGCGGGCATTTGAAGGGGCTTTGATCTGCGAGCTTTAAGGTGTGTGTCAGCGCTGGGACTGCTGGGAGCTTTTGTCCGGCTGTCCCCACCTCTAATTAAGACGTCGTCTGTGTTTGTGGACAGGGACGGAGCGCCGGAGGCCGCGGCAGAGGGAAGTGATTTGTGTTTTGTAGATCAGTGACTGCAAAGAGAGCTTTATCACGACAGACTCAAGCTGAGAGGAATCAACACGTTGGACACTTTTGTTGGACACTCGGGGAACGGCTTTACAGATGTCACAGTGTGTGTGTGATGGGCCCAAGTCAACATACAAATCTAATTATATATATGTAAAAAAAGTGTATATATACTGTGTGTGTGTGTGTGTGTGTGTGTGTATATATATATATATATACAGTGGGTACGGAAAGTATTCAGACCCCTTTAAATTTTTCACTTGTTGCATCTTTCCCAAAGTATATATATATATATATAACATATAACAACAGCAATTTATTTAAAATTATTTTTAATTTATATTATTCCTATTTTCATATATATATATATATATATATATATATATATATATAT